AGAGAGAGAGAGAGAGAGAGAGAGAGAGAGAGAGCATATCTGAAGCCATACATACCGTTCCCAACAGTCTATTACATTATAATAGAGTCGATAGGAGAGAGAGAGAGAGAATACACGACACGACAAGCGGAACACAAGTTAGGTTTGGAGTCGCTATCGATGTGTGCAATACATGTATGTGTCGTTTGAAACGCTTTATATATTTTTTGCTTACTTTTTTTCATATATGAAATTTATGTCCATTTTTTCAGTACTGAATTTCATTCTTGTTATCATCACAAGAGAGTGAGTGCGAGAGAGAGAGAGAGAGAGAGAGAGAGAGAAATATGTATTGATAAATGGCTTAAAGTTAGCGCTAAGTAGTTGTCTAATAGTAGTGGTAATAATATAGTAAAGTTGTGGTGATATCAGTCTGTCATACGAGTGCCCGCAAGAGAGACAACGAGGAGAAGTGATGGCTCACTATAACATGGCATTCGCTGCCGACGAGTTCGACAGAATGGATACATCACTCAATGACTACCCGGAGCCCCAACAGGACTCCGCCCAACCCAACGATCACAACACCGGTGGCTCACAAGACAGTCATCCATCAAACAAGACCACCGGCTCCTCAGCCAAACTCAACGGTTGTTTCACTTTTATTGATTTTTGCCCCGAGTATCGGCGCAAACCGGACTCCTGGTTCTTCCAGGCTGATTACGAAAGTTTCAGGTTGGTTATTATGTGGGGGTGGGGGGCAATCGGGGTACTCATGGACTCCCTGACCACCTGAGTGTTAGATTTAGTACAAATTGTTGGACTTTTTTGTTGTTGGAAAGTGAAATGTTGTGTATTTTGTTTTGTGTTTCTTGTGGTTGTAATCTATAACTAAATGATATCTGTATTTAGTATTTTTTTTCAGTGAAATGTTTTTCTCCTTTGCGTTCATTTATTAATGATATATATGTTATGGTATTGTATTGATAGCGAAATCTTTCATAAAGTGAATGAATGGCTGAACGATAATCACAAATGGGAAGTAAAAACAGCGGAGACATTGATTTACGACTCGACCACCGGTTTTGGCCAAAAGTTACCCTTTTTTGCCGGCAAACAAGTGAAGCGCAATCTTAGAGGAGTCAGGTATTAGACATACACACCACTCATACCCATAATAATCAATGCCCACATACCATAATAGCACTAGTATTTTATCTACGTGTTTTTTATAATTTAATAACTAGGCCATATACAGTATATGCTGGTTGTTATAAGTGCAATCTATCTAGCTGTGCTTTTTATTTTATAAACGACAAACATTTAGTGATGTTTAGGATTGTTTTTATTAATTTATGATGGTTGTTCGGTGCCAAACATTTTATTTCTACATTCATATTGTGCTAAACATATCACAATATATTGTGTTTTCTTCGATAACAATAACAACCCCAATATTCTCCAGGACTTTGACATTCAATACTCATTAGACAAACATAATTATAATCAATATATAAGTTATATTTTCTATTCAAATATTAAACAATGATATGGAGAGAGAGAGAGAGAGAGAGAGAGAGAGAGAGAGAGAGAGAGAATGTTGAAGTGATGTGAAAGATAAATGGCTGCGAAATATTCAAAATTCAATTCATATATGCATTTAATATAA